ATCACTGATCCAAGCAGATTAAAATTCTATTATATGTATATTATTACTATTTAGTACTTAATAAATAGTAATAAAGATTCCTGTAAATAATTCCAGGTCCATTCAAGTTTTACCTCACTTGTCCAGTGCAAAAAAATCATATTTAACGAACCATATTATGTAGTATTATACTTGATTTATAATTGTCTTTTTAGAATTAGCGCTTTTATTATGCGGCGGCAGCGGCTTTGATTATGCGGTGAAATATCATACGCTGGCCTAGTGCCTACTGACCTAGTGAAACCTTAGACCTACGATTACTATTCCTCGAAAGGAAATGCAACTGTCGAGCGAGTCATCTCGTCATCGGCATATTATAAAGAATTATATTATTGTAAACTATCGGTGGTTATTGATACGTTTGTTAGCTAGCGGCGAATAGCTATTATAATAAGATTTAGCGGCATCTTTGATGTAAAGGTATATAAACCGGGATTCCGACAAAGTCGAGCAGTCGAGAAAAATCCTGACACTACGAAAGATTAAAGTTGTATATTCACTAAAGTTTGAGTCTTTAGTCTTTATTCATTCTCGTACTCACCACAGTAGAGTAGCGCTACCGTATTTAGTCTACTGCTACAGAATTATTAAAAGTAGGATTGATTTAGTTCAGTCCCTACAGAAGAGAAGCGCTACCGTATTTAGGCTTCTACAAATTATCAGAAGTGGGATAAACGATTCGACCAATTCGAATAAAACGATAAACGATTCGGCTACAGTAAGAATCGATTGCAGTGAGCATAATGAACAGTACGGTGGATGAGTCGATCGCCGTAAGAATATTTAGCAGTGGGCTAGACGCCATTCCAAGAAATATTCGTTGTTTGAAAAGACTTCCGAGTGTACTAGAAACATGTCGGATCCAAACAAGTTTAAGATCGTGCAATTGAAGGAAATATTGTAAAGGTGGCAATTATCCTCAATTGGAATCAAAACGGAATTAATCGCGAGGCTGCGAGAGGCAGATCTAGAAGGCAACTGGATGCGTGAGCTAGAAAGAGCTGAAACGAATGCGGCGTCATCAGTGGAAGACGAAGCATTAGAAGACGATTTCTCGACATTGCCACGAGACAGTGCACGTACACTTATAGCGTTTTCGATTATACAGGATTTGAACGACCCAGGGTTGATCAATCACTATTTTACTATAAATGCAAGTCTTTCATTGGTGGAGAGGTTGCAATGACGTCATTAACCAACCCTGGGTCGTTCAAATCCTGTATAATCGAAAACGCTATTAGAAACGGAATGTCAGAGGAAGTGCTGAAAGATTTCGAATTACTAAGACGAGAACAACGGCTGATGGAAAGAGAGCTGCAGATCGCAGAGAGAGAGAATCAATTATTGCGAAGCAGAGCAGACAACAGAGAGAGCAGACCGGAAATGCACTCAAGAATCAACATTAAAGCAGTAAGTGAGCTGTTAAGTGAATTCGACGGATCAGAAGGCCTATTCCCAAATTGGAAAAAACAGTTAAGGCTACTGATATCAACATATCAAATAGATATAAACAATGCAAAGTTGCTGTTGGGAACACGACTTCTATTCGCGAAAGGAAGAGCGATGGAGTGGTTCCATTCCCGTTTCGAGCACATCAAATTAAATGTAGAGGGAATATTGACGGAAATGAAGAAAATGTTTGACCATCGGCAAAGTAGGCTGAAGCAATTGTAAACAATGCGGTGCAGCGCCGCCGATTGAGCGTCACTGTACCCCCTTTCCCGCGGTCCTCGCGACCACGCGCGAGTTATCTAATGCGCTGCGTCTAGCGACCTAGGCGTAGGAATATCCTTAATAAGGGCCAATCAGGATTAGCTGATGCAATAGGCGATCCTTGAGCGTGTCACGGCATGTGTGCCGGGAATTGCCGTTTGAGCAGTTCGTGTGACAACACGTCCGTCGTGTTTTTTGGTAATCAGTACCACGATGTATGTACGCGAGTGTTAATGATATTAATAAATATCGTTATTGTATTATTGTGTTTGCACCTAATATACCGTCCTGCCTTTTGATCCTGACAGATCCTCGATAAGTAATTTCGAGTGGACATTTATGTAATTACCGGTATCGCCATTGCTATTGTGAGAATAGTGTCGGTCGTAGATGTACGTGCCGTAACCATCGGTGGTGCATCGTACGTATCGCGTAATTACCTAACGTAACGCTTACACAATGAAGACAATTCGAAGAACGAACTTGGAAAACCGACGAAAGTTTCGGTACCTACTATCACGAAAAAATCATTTTGACAAATCGGGTTTCAGTGGACGAGGAAGAGATAATAGAGTATCTCATCGACGGCATATCCAACATACAATTCAGAAATCAGGTCCGGTTACAGCAATTCGATTCAGTAGCGGAGCTATTAGCCGCTTTCAAGAATATCAGTTTGACGGAGTCCAAGGGCCGTTCAGAACGCGATTACAAGACATGGAGCAGGGACTAGAAAGGGGTACATGTACAAGGAGTTCATGTGAAGAAGGAGACATCGCCGAACAAGGAGACAGGAGAAGATTCCAGTGTGGCGCAAACAAAGATAAGATGCTACAATTGCGGTAAAATCGACCACGTGTCAAAAAACAGTAAAATACCTAAGCGCAAAAAAGACAATTGTTATAGATGCGGAGAAAAAGGACATATGAGTAACGAGTGTACAAATAAAATAGAAGCAAGACAGGTTAATTGCATACAAGCTGCTGAGGAAATTAATGATTTCAGAGAGCAAATTACCTTAAAATTTAACAGTCCGCAGTTTAGTTGTAAAATAGTAGTTGACGCGTTAAATAGATACGGGAAGTCCGATCAGCTTCATTAAAGAAAAGTAATTCCTAGTTGTTGTTTTAGCTACGCTAATATTTCAAACCGATTGTCTGGAATAAATAAAAGTAAACTGAACGTTATTGGCACTACTGCAGTTAATATCGTTTGCGATAAGATAAAGGAAATACAAACTAACCTTTATATTGTTACTGATAATACTATGTCATTTTCAATGATAATAGGCCGAGGTCTCTTAAAACAGTTTGATTTTGGTAAAGTGAATAAGCTCATAAATAATAAGAATGAAAATGGCGACGAGATCCTAAACATAAATGTAACGTAAACTACAGATAATGTAACTGATTCGATAATAATTAATTCCGAAATTGCGCACGATAAACAGGCAGAATTTAAAGATATGTTCGACAAAGAATACGTAAAGCCGGAGCGTCTAAAGGAGCCAAAAGTAAATGCAGAGTTAAAATTGCAACTAAAGGACGTACAGCCTTTCCATTTTTCTCCAAGACGACTCGCTTATGCGGAAAAGGAAGAATTGCAAAAAATATTGGACGAGCTATTAGCTAAGGAGGTAATTAGGCCCAGCAATTCAGAATACGCTTCTCCAATAGTACTCGTAAAAAAGAAAAACGGTGAGTATCGTTTATGCATTGATTATAGAACGTTAAATAAGTACATCGCGCGGACGAATTACCCGATTCCGGTAATTGAAGATCAGATTAACGTTTCAAAAGATAAAAACTATTTTAGTATATTGGATCTGAAAGACGGATCCTTTCATACATAATTTACGTATTTTAGATTAAATAATTAAGTATATACAATTGTTTTAAATATTTAATAAAATATTTAATTTCAATTATTTATAAAATCTGCTGGAGCTAATAATAAATCTATTCTTTATAGCTGAACTGATTGCACTAGTTAAGCTATAAAGAACAGACCTATTATACGTATGATATAATAGTCCTAAACAGATTCTGGCTAGGAAAACTATGATTCACCCGTATAAGATTTCGAAAAGATTCGGAGCTAAGTCGGGATACAAATTCCAGGTCCCGGCTAGTTGAGAAATCAGAGATAGCGGACTTTTGCGTCGCCCTGCACACTTAGACCCTTTTATTTTTTTCCGTCTAGTGCCCGCATATTGTTACGGTAAACTGGCCAAGCACTATATTTTGCACGGGAACAATTTCTACCTGGAAATCCATTGCTAATATTAAAATTTAAATGCAGCATATGATTTTTCGTACTTATTATACAAAACGTCCAGATATTACCATAAAAAAGAAAAATAGAAAATTTATATAAAAAATATTAATAGTGCTATCTTTATGTCTTATTCAATAAAAGTTATAATGGCATCGCGATATATAACTTGTTTCTTATTGTACTTTATTGTAGATTGAAAATTATTCGGCCTAATCAACCTTATTGTTCATATTTCTGCATTATGATCAATGTGCTTAACTCTTAAATAAGCATAATTTAAAATAAATGATAAAAAAAACAGTTGTTATAATTTTTGTATTTTGCTCATTTTCTTAGCAACAATTGAATAAATTTTTAATTTTTGAATATATTTAATATTATTTTTAGTTATAACGACCAAATCAGAAATAATATTATTTCAGAAGGTTTAGAAAAATGCAGAACAAATTCATCAAAAAAATATTACAATAAATAATACTGGGAAATCCTTTTTTAAATTAAACAAATTAACCATATCATATTTGTTTTCAAATGTCATTTTATTATTAGGAAATTAAATTCTATCATGATTAGTCTTTAAAACGTCTCGAAGAAATGCATGTTGTATTGTTATATTATTTAACACAATTCTCGAACAAGTACAACTAAAAGAATTAAGAATTAGCAAATTTTACAGACTATTAATGTATTACTTTTCGGCGATCTCTACAGAAGTTACTATAATACATTTAAGAATAAAATATGAAAATTGCATGATCAACCAAGTTTATATAAAAATGATATAAAACTAAAATATTTATAAATGCTCTTAAATAAATCGTCGATAGTTTTATGGTTACAGTAAAGTCGATGATTAATTCATAAAATTGTCTTACTTTATAAACTTATAAGCATAGTTCATAAATTGAAAACATAGTACATAAACAAAATTTATTATTGCATACTATCAATTTCAAGAATGTAGCAATTTTTTATCTATGTGACACTTTGATTTATAAATATATTTATAACTTATAAACGTAAAACGAATTATACGTCAGGAATAATTGTACATAAAAAGACATGCCAGTTTTCTGGTGTAGGTTCTCCAAATCGTCAAAATTTAAATTGTCGTTAACGTTGGTGATGCTACTTGAGTGTCGTTATCACCATTCGGTTGTCAAAATCTGGATAAACCTATGTAAATATTTGAATAATTATTAAAAACAAATTGCCTAGTTATTGCTCATCTCATTATTAAAAAACAAATTGTCTAGTTATTGCTAATCACATTTATTAAATTAAATGCGATTTGAAAAAGTAAAAAATTAATACATAAAGATATTAACAGCAATATCAATAACACATATTGTCACCTGTTTTTTTCAGTTTGCTTGGCTTCTTTATGGTCTAGCTGCGTCATGCGTTCTCTGTGTAGTTGTCAGGCTGTTCGAATGTGTAGCTACAGTGTGACGATCAAAATACCATAACGGAATGTCAAGTGGTATTCTACTTTCGGAACAAATATTACATTGCACCGCAAAATCACTAATTTGTGTACAGTATTTCCATTCCCAGCTCTCGTATAATGATGGGTTAAAAAAGTACTCGAAAGGATGGTCGTCCAAATGTTTTTTTAAAAAGTCCTTATTAAACTCATTATTAAACTCATTATTAAACTCAAAAACTTTATTACAGCGACATTTTAAGGAATATGAAGTCAAATACGTAAAATGCATCCATGGAAACATGTGTCCGTGTTCTTTTTCGTAATTATATATGTCTATATGCTTTTCTTTCACGTATTTATTAAAGTTTGCTGTATCGATATAACAAGATTTAATGCCGCAAATTCGGCACGTTGCTTTAAAATCTTTTAATGTGTAATCATTGTCCCTCAGTTTATCCGTGGCTTTTTTAGAAATAATTGATTGCAATTCTTTCAGATGCCATCTCATTGTATGAATAAACATTACATTATCAAAATTAATGGTTATTTTTTTGCAACAAATAGTACACTTGACCTCATCATTGTCATCACTTTCTCTAAAATATTTCATTGTCCAATGGTCATCTACGATATAACGTTCTTCTTCCACAGAATGCTTCTCTGAGATATGTGTTTCTATAGATTCAGAAACAGTCAGAAATTCACCACACATGAGACATTCTGAGTGTGGTATCTCTTTATCGAAAATATATTCACACCAATACTTCAAATATTTACATGATTTTTTATTTCCGTCTTCACGTTCCCATTTATATATGGCTTCATGGTTTTTACGTATGTGAGAAAGCAAGTCATCATTAATATAATCACATTCAAAGGCGCAGTTTTCCCATTTGCATTTTGCTCGAAAAAAAGGCAGTTTATTATAATATACCCACATGTTTTCATTAAGTTCTATAGATTTTGATATATTAACGGATTCTGACGAAAGAACTATGTCACATCTTTCTCGCACATTTCTTAATTCTTCCGAATGTCTTTCTATATGTATTTTTAAATTATACCCTTGTAGATAAATACTAAATTCTTCGGAACAATAAGTGCATTTTATTTTAAAATTATTTCTTGTACAATATTTCCATATCCAATCATAAAGTACGTAATTCTTCACTTCGTTAACATGTTTCTGGTGTAAATGAGATTTTAAAGATTTAAAATCAGATTCAATATTCTCACGACAGAAAAGACATTGTGAAGTAGAAGTATCGTTGTACTTGAAACATATCCATGGCCATTCTTGTCGTCCTTTATGTGTTTCTTCGTATTTTTTTATATCAGAATGGTTATTTATTATATGTTCACGGAAATTTAACTTGACGTAAGTATATTTTTGTCTACAAAACCTGCATTTTACTTTGTAATCCGAGACTTTTTCGTAATATTGCCACACGTTTTTCTTTGTTATAATAATTTCTGCCATTGTGTCCGTTTCTTCTTACAGAATGCAGATAACTGAATACGGTACTCGAGGACGAAGAAATACGTATAGTTTTACGTTTGAATGTAAATATTGGTACGGGAGTCAAAACTATGAAGTCCGAGTTATGAAAAGGCGCTGTAACATCATGCCCAGTTGGTATAGCAGTTACTATTTCGCGTAAAGACGTTACAACATATCTTTGAGACGAATTGTTTTTAAGAAATAATGCAGAACTAATTATTTATATCTGAAATAAAACTATTTTCAGATAATAATTATATAAAAAAAATACGCATAATTTACTCTACTTATTGATACTGTTATAAATACAATAAATACATTAATTGGAAAAACATATATATGCATACGTAGTTCTCTACTTTGCAATGTATATATGTGTGTAAAAAGTTAAAAGCTTATTGGTACGTGTCTTATTGTATTATCTCTGCATGGACGATCGCCCCCTTTATCCCCACTTTCCGTTTTTACGGTGACTGGATTCGACCAAAAGAGATAAGCGATTATTATAATTATGAGATTATGATATTTTATTACAAATTATAATAATTTATATTTATATATAAATGTATATCTAACGAGATGTACATAATTTGCCATCTATACAGCTATGAAATAATGCTATAAATGAGAAAAAAATTGACATTATTAAAAAAGAAATGTTTTATTACACTCAATTACGATTGTTACAATATTTTCATGTACGTATGTATATTCGCGTGAGCGCATAAATTATCTTCTATCCATTTCAATTATTATTCTACATAAATTACAAAAATAAAGAAAAAGATCGAATTAAAAGGAAGAGTTTTCAATTAGTAAAATTATAAACAAAAAAACGCTTTTCCGATATAAATAAATTATTTCTATAGTATGGCTTCTTTCAGCAATTTTTGTAAACTCACATTTTCAACATTTTCAAAGTAATGTTCCAATGCGTAATATCGTTACTTCAAATTGTAAATAAATAAGATAAAAGCGACAATTTTTGCAAAAAAATTAAATATTTACGCTTCAAAGTATATAAAATATGCGAATTTCGGAAAACATTGTTGAGCGAACGACTGTATTAAAAATTTACTTTGATATGTTTTCGATTAATGGTATAATTAGAGTGCATACATTGTTGAAAGAAATTAGGCAAATATTCAATTATCGCTCGTTTTATTTCAACGGATGATCCGTTCGCTGAGACCAATATATTTTCGTAGTTTCTTATTGTTAAACGAAAATAGCGAATTGCGTCCAGATGAGTACCTTGACTATTTCAACCCCCAAATATATTAGAATGTATTGATTATATTAATATTCCACTATATAACTTTTTTCTTTGATTGATTATTCAGTTGAAATGCGATTACGTAAGTATCGGTTAAAGTTAAGTATTAACAACGAATGACAAACATTACCTTACTCTTTCAATGTCTAAAATAGAAGTGATTTACATTGCATTTGCGATTATCTCTCCGTTCGCAAATATGATATATTACTCATAATATTATTGACAGATTGCAGAAAATTACATTTGCATTTTTGCACGAATTTGCAATTCTTTATCTGGAATTAAATTATCTCGAGTTTAATCAACAGTATTGCAGTATTCTTTTATATTCCTTCAAATTTATACTACAGAAATATTTGACGTCAATAATTAGACGTATTTTTCTCTTACACACTTCGATTATATAACTAATAATTGCTAGAGTTACGTATTCAGTTTGTAAAAAATCTTTTTTCTTTCTCTATCTTCATGAGTAATCAATAATCGATATCCTTCGAATTGCCGTCGTGTAAGTCGCAACTATTTCGGGTAACTAATTCCTAATGGAGTCACGTCTTCTTGGAATTACCTCGATATCGGAGGTGGAAGTGATGGTCATACAGCACTTCCAGTGTAAAAGCTCGCCTTGCCAGCCAGTCCAGACGTTCGCTCCTTTTTCTCGCATTCCATCGTGCTGAAGGCGTTCTGAGCGATCTGCGACATGCGTTCCGGATTCTGCAGAGTCATGCTGCGCTGACTGGAATTGGAACTGGAGCTGATACCCGGTTCCGACACTCGAAGGATGCCCGAGTGTATTGTTCCGAAGTTCTGATATATATACTGCGACTGAATACCCGACACTGACGTGTTCTGGTTCTTCAGCGTAATAGGAACGGTCTGGCCGGCTACAGTATCGAATCTAGTGTCGTAACCGAACGGCGTGTCCAGCAAAAATTCACTCTTGTCGACGTAACTACTAAGTCTGGAGTCCAGAAGACCCTCGTTGTCGGCAAAACCGCTCAATCGGGAATCTACGACGTTCTGGTCAGCGCTTCTCGTGGAAAATTCGGCATACCGCTGCTCCTGGGCGGGTTCCTTGTTATCCGTGAAACTAATTATATTCTGTCGGGAATCGGACAGAATCCGGGAATCGATAAAGCCTTCCTTATCGGTGAATCCGCTCAGGCGAGAATCTATGACGCTACCCTCGGATTTCTCGAAGTTGCATCGCGGGTCGTTGTTTTTGTTATCGGGATAAGCCGGCAAGACGTGAGATAGGTCTGTCTTATCGACGTAACTGATGGCCTGTGGATTCGACGCGCAGATATCAGGTGCCGACTTGCAGAGCAACGAAGTTCTTTCTTCGGCCAATTTTTGAGGCGCTAGGACACAGAAGTGCGGACTTACTTTCCTCCAGGCATGAGAAAGGTGCGCTTACATTTTACAGGGTGTCCCGCAGCACTTCAGAATTTTTTTAGATTATTCGGATTTATTTTCGATTTCAGGATCTTGACATACACAGACCGTAGGATCTCTACGGACGTCCAAGATCCCTTGATCTTTACAATTATGCAAACATTACGATATGTCGTCTCCATCACACGCGGGACACCCTCTCTAGCGATAAGTTTACCCACGTTTCGTTGGCTGACCGAAAGGTCGAGCCTGTGATGGTCCCGGCGATTTCTGAGGCGCCCTCACGAGGTACTCCGAGCTGAGCCCTCTCTGTTCCTTCAGCTCCCTCTCAGCGCCTGGAACCATGACCATCACCTGTAAAAACAAAAGGTATGAATACCCCCCAATGGATTCGTCGCTAAAATCGAGTGGAATAATTCAGGGCGAGAGTTTAATCGACAACTTCACCATTTCCTCGACCGTAGAAAATCGCGCCATGTAGCCGGACATCGTTAAAACAGCTGCTACTTACGCGAGCATAAGCGCTAACCCGGAAAGTTGAAGGTACCAGTCGTAATGATATTGCGGTAGACCGTTATCGTCTATTTGCATGCCGGCAATTGATTGCAAACTGTATTTTCCCGGTAATTCCAATGATGCGTCTGACAATACCGAAGCAAGTAATATCAATCTGCCGCCTAAGGAAAGTCCTGAAACATATATACAATTATTATACATCAATCGGCATTGTGAAATCGTCAGAAAATAATATAAAATTAAATCTTTTTTCTAATAATAATTGTAAATTAATTCAGCTTTTTGTATTTTATAAATTAAATTTACAAGTTATCTCGCATTTTTAAACATTAATATATTGAACTGATAAATTCATATATTTTCAAATTTTTATTATTGAATATATATAACGAAAAAATTTTTCCTAAAAAGAGCAATATAATTGTATATAATAAAATTAATGTTTTTTTTCTTTTGTTTTATATGTAATAAAGCATTAGAAGGTACCGAGAAACTCATATAAATTAATATTAATTAATACTGTATTATAATTTTAATGTTTATAATAGCATTAATAACAACAACAAAATTAGTAATCATACTGGAAATAAATGTGCAAAATATCATCCGAATAAATAAAAACTGACGCACGTTGATTGAAAAACGCGAGCTGCTATAACTATTATGTGAAAATCAATTCTCGTACAATATTTCCATATTCAATTGTAAACGTAATTCTTCACTTCGTTAACATACTTTTGGTGTAAATGAGATTCTAAAGATTGAAAATCAGATTGAAAATTCTCGCGACAGAGAAGACATCGTGAAGTGGAAGTATCGTCGTAATTTAAACATATTCATGGCCATTCTTGTCGTCCTTTATGTGTTTCTTCGTATTCTTTTATATCAAGATGCATTTTTATTAAATGTTGATGGAAATTTGACTTGACGTAAGCATATATCTGTTTACAAACCTGCATTTTGCTTCGTGATCCGACACTTTTTCTTAATATTGCCAAACGTGTTCTTTTGTTACAATAATTTTTGCCATTGTGTCCGTTTCTCCTTACAGAACGCAGGTAACTGAATACGGTACATGAGGACGAAGAAGTACGTATAGTTTTTCATTGGAATGTAAATATTGATACGGCAGTCAAAACTGTGAAGTCCAAGTCATGAAGAGGCGCTGTAACATCATGCCCAGTTGATATAGCAGTTTCTTTTTGTTACTATTTGTCTACTATCGCGAAAAAGACGTTAGAACTTATTATTTACACAAATGGTTTTTTTTAAATAATGCAGAACTAATTATTTAAATCTGAAATAAAACTATTTTCAGATAATAATTATTTTTAAAAAATACGCATAATTTACTCAACTTATTGATACTGTTATAAATACAATTAATACATTAATTGGAAGAACATAAATATGCATACGTAGTTCTCCACTCTGTAATATATATATATATCTACATTCGTAATGTATAAATAAATGCCTGTAAAAAGTTAAAAGTTTATTGGTGCGTGTCTTATTGATAATATTCCTTTCTTTCTCGTTAACTAAAGTTTTATAATAAAAAACAAAGTAACATAAAGAAAAATTTTTTTTAATTAAAAATAACTATTTGTAAAGACATTATATTGAATAATTACTGTAAATTAGAAACATCTAGATAAAAATGCAATAAGCTGGTAACCTAATTAATTGTCAACTTATTAATTTGTAACGTTATATTATATTGGATTGTAATGAGTTATTTTGAATTTTTCAATAAATAATGATATTATTTTTTACATATTTATCTGGATAAAAAGTAATATTGCGAGTATCATTGATTGTAGCTTTAACAAATTAATCGACAAATGTTTATTTAATTTTCATGTTAGTACAAATGCGTTTTGCCTGACATAAAAAGTAGGCAAATTTATTCGAAAAATGCAACATTACTTATTACAAAACCCACTATTATTCCTATATTAAATTTGCACATAATATTTTAAAACACAAATATACAAATTATAATGTAACTTTTTCTTTGAAAAACACTCAAAAAAATTATCTTGCAATAATAGCTAAAATTTTCTAGGTGTAAAAAATTAACTAAAACAGATAAATGATTAGCAACTGTTGTGATATTGCATATGTAATTACTTAATCAGTTTAGATGACGGAAACAGAATATATATCTGTATTGTTTGTGAACTTTAAAAAAAAAGTTTCTCTAAAGCGCCTATCTATATAAGATCAATCACGTGTTAGATCATGCAATGAATAACATTTAGCAATGGTACCTAAATTTTTTCAGAAGCTATTGCTAGAACATTACTGCTATAAATTCTATATGTGACAAACAATGTTTTCACAGATACGAAAAATAGCGATACATTCTTGTTGCGATATCTAGAAATCTAACTACATTAGCGAAATATTTTTTTGAGTGAAAGTTACTGTGTTGCATTAGACAATTTCATATCAGATTATACTTCAGAGATTGAGATTATAAATTTAAAAAAAAGTTCGATTGATTAAATAATTTCCGTCTTATTGTTAGCTTACATTGACTCAAAAATTTGAATTGTTATTAATTTGCAATCTTCAGTTTCCAAAGGATTGTCTGGCTAGACAAGTTTTTTAAAAAGAATATCTCGAATGGGACACTTTTCTATAACCAGGAAAAATAAGGATTACGAAAATTTTGATTTTTGTGTAATTTAATTTTTCAGCAATTGCGTTAATGTACGTATTATATTGAAGTAAAGAAATTTACGGTATTATCAGACATATCGTACAAAAAAGAACAAAATAGCTCAATTATCTTTGCTTGTCGAGCAATCGTATTATCAGAAAGAGTTTTTCGCAAGTTGCACGTTAAGTACATATGTAGTTTAATAATGTTTGTACATTAATTTGAAATCTCTAATCCATTGCTAATATTGAAATTTAAATGCAGCATATGATAATTCATACTTATTATACAAGATGTCCAGTTATTACTATAAAAAAAAATAGGAAATTTATATAAGAAATAATGATAGAGCTATCTTTATGTCTTCTTCAATAAGAGTTATAATTGCATCGCGATATACTAATTGTTTTTTATTGTATCTTATTGTAAACTAAAAATTATTTGATCTCATCTACTTTATTATTCATAATTCTATGTTACGCTCAGTGTGTCCAACTCTTAAATTAGCTTAATTAGAAATGAATGATAAGAAGAACATGTTATAATTTTTGTATTTTGTACATTTTCTTAGCAAAAATTGTGAATAAGTTTCTAATTATTGAATATATTTAATATTATTTTCGATTATAACAATTAGATCAGAAATGATATTATATCAGAAGGTTTAGAAAAATGCAGAACAAATTCATCAAAAAAATATTACAATAAATAATACTTGGAAATCTTTTTTTAAATTAAATAAATTAACCATATCATATTTGTTTTCAAATGCCATTTTATTATTAAGGAATTAATTTCTATCATAATTAGTCTTTAAAACGTCTCGAAAAAATGCATGTTGTATGGTTATATTATTTAACACAATTCTCGAACAAATACAACGGAGAGAATTAATAATTGGCATATTTTACTGACAATTAATGTATTACTTTTCGGCGATCTCTACAGAAGTTATTATAATACAGTTACGAATAAAATATAAAAAATGCATGATCAACCAAGTTTATAAAAAAATGATATAGAAATAAAATATTTAGAAATGCTCTTATATAAATCATCGATAGCTTTACGGTTATAGAAAAGTTAATAATTGATTAATAAAATCGTTATACTTTATAAATTTATAAGCATAGTTTATAAAATGAAAACATAGTACGTAAACAAAATTTATTAGCGCATTGAATAAATTTCAAGAATGTAACTATGTATTATTTATATGACACATTGATTTATAAATATATTTATAATTTATAAACGTAAAACGAATTATATGTCAGGAATAATTGTACGTGAAAAGACATGCCACTTTTCTCGTGTAGATACTCCAAATCATTTGAATCGTCAAAATTAAAATTGTCGTTAACGTTGGTTGTGATGCTACTTGAGTGTGGTTATCATCATTCGGTTGTCAAACTCTAGATAAACCTATGTAAATATTTTAATATTTATTAAAAACAAATTGTCTAGTTATTGCTCATCTCATTACACATTTATTAAATTAAATGCGATTTGAAAAAGTAAGAAATTAATACATAAAGATATTAACAGCAATATCAATAAAACATATTGTCACCTGTTTTCTTTAGTTTGGTTGGCTTCCTGATGGTCCAGCTGCGTCATGCGTTCTCTGTGTAGTTATCAGGCTGTTCAGATGTGTAGCTACAATGTGACAATCAAAATTCCATAACAGAATGTTAAGTGATATTCTACTGTTGGGACAAATATTATTATTCTTCAAACAACTTGCTCAAAATCTTTTAATCTTTAATCTAACGAAATATATACATCAATAAAATGATGACAATAGAGACTCTTATCGAAATAAAAGAGAACTATGGAACAGAACTTTTCTTATCATTCACAATATTATTTCATTATAAATGTGTATTTCACAAAATATCTAAATAATAATGAATAAAATTAAAACGTTGATTTACGAGCTAATTATTACGATATACGTTATTTTACTTTCGCGGTTTTACTATCCTTATGCTTGTTGCTTATTGCCGATATTATATCATTATAGAATATAACTATCCAGATAGCACAGAGATGAATAAAAGTTTATAGAGAATTTATTTTAAAGAATACATACGAAACTAGAAAAATGAATATCTGAAGAATTCTAAAAGAATTAACTACAATCAGTCCGTTTTAAAGTATTCCCCAGAAATTCATTATCATAAATACTTTGCGACTCAGTATTTTGAATACTTCGAGAATTCATGAAGAATTAAAAGTACTTTATTTGTTTTAATTCCGACCAGAGCTGCTAGATTCGTTTATTGCGGCCTTTGCGCACACAAGCGAGAACCGTATACACATGATGCGCAAAACACCCTGTATATCTCGTGTAGTGTCACGCTGTGTACTACCAGCATTAAGCGCGATATTTTTTTTGCATAAACAAACGATATATGTGCATAAAGGCATGTATTATGAAAGGCAAAAATGCGATATATTATAAAAATCAACGGACAATTTATTGAATGTTAAGTACGGTTGAATTGGATTCATTTATTATATATTTTTAATAATTGTTACTAATGTATCTACTAAATATATCGACTAATAATAACATTACATCAATATTATAATTCGCCACTCAACAATGTAATTGTTATATACAATATGTTATAGTGCATTTACATTGTTGAGTGATGTTGAGTGAAATTATAATATTGGTGTAATGTTACTGTTAGTTGGTGTTTATTAAGAATTTTGTAATTCTTTATCTATTCTAAAACTATTCCTCTTGAATTCATAAAGTATACACATCTATTGATATAGAATAATACTATATAAATACTCCAAGAAATTTTCAAAAATTCCAATTATGGTGCATGTAACTTCCTTAATCATTAATAATAGTGTTCTTCTATGAATTCCTAAAGAATTACAAGTTAGGAAAGAAGAAAACTTGAAGAATATTTTTGAATTTACTGTGCTATCTGGGTAGATGCTTTTGCGAACGCTATAGCTAACGACACTCTCACGTTCTTTTTTTTTTTTTGTTGTTTTTTTGGGCGGCGTGGACCCAGTTCAGTTATTATTCAATCGTGTGTTTCTCTTAAAATATATATTCTGTGAAAGTAACTAATATCACCATCTTTTCCTCACCTCCGAACCTTCATACGCAACACTAATCATGCCACATATCGCGCAAACTCCTTATCTCATTAATGTAAGAAATTTAAATCTATTTCTGATATTGCGTGCGTACCTTAAAATTTGAAAATATTTGAAATGATTTATTTTCACCAGTGATGTATAATTGTATGTTATAAATATTGAACAGAGAGAGAAAAGTGTAGAAATTTCAAAAACTTGTAACCATATATATTTATGTCATTGTATTGTTATAATTAACTGCAATTTTTCTTTCATTTGTCACACGTTTTCAAGGTAAAATTATGAAACGAAATTGTATTTGTTGTAAACAAAAACTGGCATACAATGATCGCAAGTGTCTTAGAAACTACAACTGGACAGATGAGCTTTTTCTTATCTCTTTATTACAATTCATTATCTTCGACAACTTCTTTTTCTACAATGCAGCTTTCTGGTCGTGTGGACTGATGTGGCAACTCGTATCTCAATTTATCCCAAAACAAAGGATCACTCCATTGAATACACGTACTCATAGTTATAATCGCTTTCAATTCTGCATCCAAGTCATCGAGGAGTCCGATGTCATCGTACAAGATAAGTATCATTTTCGCACGACCTTCACTCAACGCTTGACAATACGCGACTCGAAATTCCATCTTTCCCCAGACGCTATCCAAGAAATTTGGCGACAAGATCACTATCGTCCGCCTTGATTTTTGCACGGATCTAGCGATAATGTCCGATATACTTTCGTTTATTGAGCAATCTCGATAATGCAGGCACAGTTTGTAAGGTGTGGGACCGTTCTCTAGCTTCGGTACCAGCTCGTTTATTATAAAATTGTGATCCTTATGCGAGTAGCTCACGAACGCGTCATACAATTCTTCTTCGTTCAATTGTTTTTCTGTTACGAACCGTATATACCATTCATGAGCAATTAGCCATTTTTTATTGTATTTTTTATTGTATTTATAGCATAATCCAAGAATGCAGATGTTAAATCCTATTAGAGTGATCAGAACGCCAATTCTGATAATTACTGTTGTGAACGGACAAAAATCGTAGAAAGTCATATCTGATACAGATTTATTTGTTCCGTGACACATTACTTGCGACACTTCAGGTATGTTGTGAATCTTTCGATATTCTGTATGAATAAAATATAAGAAATCCACAGCATCACAGTTACATTCCCACGGATTATCGTGTAACGTCAAATAAGTTAAAGTGGTGGAATTTTGGAAAAACTCCAATACATCAGGTCGTATTTTTGATATTTTGTTACTATGTAGTTCCAAAATCTGGAATTTAAATCGATTTCATATTTTACTTGTTAAATTAATATTTTTTATTAATTATTTCCAAAAAGTAATTTTTTTCACAATTTAATTTAATTCTACTTCTATTATATTCTATAGCAATCTAAAAGGTTCAAAATTAATTCATAAAATTTATAAATTTAGATACTTTCCATCTGTTTTGATGTTACACCTTTATTAATACTTTTTTGAAATTATTTTATTTATAATATGTAATATAATTACATACCTCTATTGATCTGGACAATCCATTTAAGATAATCTGAGATATGTTGTTGTGAGATAAATATAATTCTTTCAATGAAGGGCAATTGTGGAAAGGTGATTTGGGTACAATATTTGGATAAAACAATGTAGATTGTAATGTAAGATAGTTGTTGGAGAATTTAGCAACCTTTAAAGATTTTAAAGAACTAAAACTTTCGAAGGAAATGGTTTTTAGGTAATTTTGTTCCATATTTAATTCCTCCAACGCGTGCAATCCATTAAACAGCTTTCTGAAATATTAAAAAATTTTTATAATAATAAAAGTATAAAACTAAAAATAATTCTTATAATTCGTAAAGTTACAGTGACTTAAACGTACCGAGAAATGGAAGTAAAGCGATTATTTGATAAATCCAACATTAAAAGACTGGTATTCTCGAAAATATAATCAGACAATACTTTCATATTGTTAGACTTCAATATCAATATTTTTAAATTTATTGCATCCCGAAATACATGCTTAGGCAAAGATTGAAGATAATTTTCACTCAAATTAATGAAGTGCAGCTGAAAGGATCTCCAAATAAGATCTTCCGGCAATGCGATCAATCCATTATCTTGCAGTTTCAAATATCTTAATTTCACCATATTGCTAAAAAATCCATTCCACAAAAACAAATTTCTATTGCTTGACATATCAACGACCGTCAGATTTTTATTATTTTGTAAGAGATTTCTTGGAAAATATGTAAAATCGTTCGCATTTAAATAGAGATAGCTAAGGTTCTTCAGTTTTGCAAATATATCTTTTGGTAAGGTGACTAAGTAATTATAACTAAGTTTGAGCAACAGCAAAGCGATGAGTTTGTCAAAAATTCCCAATTCAAGCTTGGTTAAGTGATTATTTGATAGATCCAGATGTAGTAAATTATTCAGCGTATCAAAAGTGCCTGATGCTATCAATTTTAATTTGTTGCCTCTTAAATAAAGATACATTAACTGAGTGGTATAATCAAAAAATTCGACGGTCAAGTGATGTAAGTTGTTGTTGAATAGATAAAGATGTGTTAAATTATTAAAACCGTTCAGATGATGCTTTTTTAAGGTGAGTTTATACTTATTGTAAGAAAAAACATTTAATTTTTCAACGCTTGTAGCTCCTAGCATGTGTGCAATGTCACTCAAGCTGTTGTTACTCGGTAAACTGCAGTTGTCGAATGTTATCAATTCGTAACTTCCCAACGATGTCATGTTTAAATCAAAATCTGACCATTCTGGTGAATCAAAGCAGTGGATCTGTGTAAAGAACATTCGCTGATGTAAACGTGATGTAAACAATTAAAATTTAAGAGAATAAGAAACGGATTAAGGCTAAAACTTTTTAAATTTAATGCAAGATTAAGGTTTAAAGTAAAATATTTAAAAAGTTGTCAGAAGAATATAATATAAAAATTTTTTTTTTAAATTTTACTTTATAAACGATATTAAATACTAAAAACAATTGTTGTAATAAGAAATTTGATGTCTCTATCTTATGATATTACTAGCTAAACAGTCTGTGTTATATCTAAATTTATTGGTTTTTTTTTTCTTTATATTTATTGTTTTAATTCTATAATTTTCAATCAAATTTTTGCAATAATATTGATTAGGAGTGCATAGATTTTTGAAATTATATATTTATATATATAGATTAATATAAAACGCCCATACTTTAACAAACACATACCATTATAAATATGTTTTGTTCAATGTGGATATAGAATTCAGAATTACTATTTGTTATACAACGTATCGTAGCAGTCAATTTGTCGTTTGTTAAATGACAGTGACACTCGTTTGTTGGACATTCGAGAGCGAAAATGCCCAGCATGGTGATAAAGAAAATCACGACGCATGTTTCGTGACGGATGTTTATTTTCCAAGATATCATAATTATTTTGACAACTGCTAAAACAGATAGAAAATGCACATTTCTAGTGCTTTATTACATTAAACTTTTATTTAAAGACGCATACATTATTGATGGCATCTTATATTATATTGTGCATATTTATAATAAATAAACTGTTCTTGACCATTTTGCACAGACGATTGTTTATATCATAATTGGATTTAATTTATCTACATTGTAAACTGTGTTATATAAACAAAACGACAATTTTTTCAAACACTGCCCATAAGATATGCATACATATTACAATATTTTGCATGAAATAATAATTGCAACTTTTTTCTTTATATTTTTAGTATACTATAACAAAAAAGAAGTAACGTTCAACAAAACGGAAATTGATTACTGCAGAAAATTATATCGATATGTCATAAGATAAGAATATATCAACCACAGTCATTTCTTAACAATTGAAGAACACGTTTTGCAAACGCACTTGTTAAATGCACACAGCGCAAATATGCAGGATTAAATCCTGCATATACGTGACTGATCATTAATAGAAGATGATGCCTGAACCGATTCATAAAAATAAAATCCACGCTATTTACTTACCGCTTGCATTATGTTAAACACGTTGGAAATGTTTATGAGCTACGCTCTATTTCAAATTTTTTTCTAGAGAAAGATAATGGTAATAAATGAAATGCTTAATGGTATTATTTCTCGCAATTTGCATTACAACATGCACAGCAACGATGTTTCACAGCACTTCCGATAGATCCGTTTGTTTTATTTGTGAACTATGTTTTTTAGAAAATTATGAAATAAGCAATGAGTAAACAATTATAGAAAAATTATGTTCTAATTGCAAAATTGTAGTCGCGTTTCACAAATAATGCAATTCTAATAATCGTTACTTACAATCAGCCGTCCATTATGCGGCTGATCCAAACCTGAACACTTTTGTCTCCGATAAAGTTGGAGAGTTATAACTCTTTAGCGGGCTCGACACGAACTGATACTGAGCGATGGCAAACACCTCCTTTTTCTCTTTTACATTTTGCTCTTAATGTTTCCCTCTTGAATAATGCTATTTAATATTGTAGAATGATATAATATATAGAAAATGTGTTCAACTTTCCATGTGAGACATAAAAAAAGTATTTTATTTCTAGACAATAATTTTTGATTTACCAAAATAATTTTTAGCATTTGACGCAATTAAAATTTCCCAAGCAGCGTAATTTCTTATACAAAACCACAGTATGAAAGAAAGATATGAAAAAAAGCCAACTTCCTGCGGAAGAATTCTTGATAGAGTGATACGTTTACCATATTTTTATTTTTATCTAACAAGATTATTATTATCTAATCAAAAAATAGGTTTATAAACGATACGATGGCAAATCGTATCGTGGTTATGCATGACAACCGTTTACATCACCAACAGACTGAGGAAAATCCACTTATAAAACCGAAACGTCCCTTTTTATTTCATATCTTTTTTGTCAATAAAATATTTTTGTACACTAATACCAATGTGTTTGGTTCTTATTGACTTTTTTGCCCGTCAGTATTTTATTGTTACAGAACCATTCCTTACTCTCTATTTGTCTTGACAAAGTCATCTTTAGACGCAACGTAAAACTTCTATTAAATTTTTGTCAGACACCAAATTATATGGAATTTAAAGGCTCCGTCTAATGCGGCAGCCGAACACAGAGGTGTTTTTGGGGAATTTTTTATGAAGCAACCATTGCGCCAATAAATTATAAAATTTATGCATATCTTTATTCATGATTATCCTACATATATAAAAAAATCAGTTAAAAATACGAAAAATAAGTCGTTAGCGTTACGTTGTGTAGAGCGTTTTCAAGTAAAGGCTGCATTTTTATAACAAAAATCATAATAACTTTCTAAACAAAGCATTTTAAAGCTCCAAATCTCTATTTTTAATGCTTGATAAAAAAGATTCCACAATAACTTAAATATTATGTCGATAAATGAAACAATGGCTGTTAATAAAATAATCAAATAAACTGAAAATAAAAATACAATAAAACTTTCAGAAAACATTATTACATTATAGTATATTGATATGAAAACATTAAGAGCTACTAATTTTTCATATCAAATAAACTGAAAATAAAAATACAATAAAACTTTCAGAAAACATTATTACATTATAGTATATTGATATGAAAACATTAAGAGCTACTAATTTTTCATTTAATATCAACTGTAATTCCAACCAAAACTAATTAATCTTTACACTAAAATTAGTATAAAATAATGTTTACAATGAAACAGTATATACAAACAATTATTTATTTATTATAAATGATGAGAGATGAATTACAGATATAATATTTCTTAATAACATTAAACTTAATCATTTATGCAAATATATCTTATTCTATTTCATCTAATTCTTCTCTGTCTCTTAACTTTGCTCTGTCCTTGTGTTTATTCTTCTTCCGCAGTCTCTGAATATGTTTCTTTAATTTCCCTGTGTTCTTTAATTCTTCATATTGTGAGACTAAATTTAAGATTTTCTTTTCAGCTGTAAAAAATAAAGTAAAATATATAATAATCAGAATTGTATTAAATTTTAATGATTTTATTAACTTACATTTTTTCTTAAAGACTGGTTTCTCTCCTTGTTTAATAGATTCCAGCAATTCCTTCTTTTCTTGCTGCTTTTTTTCTTCTTTTTCCATCTGTTTCTTTCCTTCTCTTAATTGATTTTCAAGTCTTTGTATGAGATATTTTATCTTTTTTATACTTTTTGGATCAGTTGTTTCTTTTAATTCTTTTTGCAAAGTTTGGAGATCATTTGCTCGATATTCATTAAGAAAAGCATAAGAGTGCCTGAAAGCCTTTTCATCATATGTACCGCATAAACTATCAAATCTAGGATCTCGTGATACAAATTTTTTAACCACAACCGCCGGATTAAACCTAGAAACTGGCTTCTTAGCGGACATCTCACGTGGCCTATTTTTATTTTCTCGCTTAAATTCTACTCTTCTCTTGCTTCTTCTTCCAAATGCCGTCTCATTATATATCTTGGTCCCCAATTTTTCTTTTAACTTCATCAATTCCTTAAAACTCGTATGTTCCAACTGCTCTTGTATTTGTTTCTAAAATAGACAAAAATTACATAGTTTACAAAATACATATGTTTCTATGTATAATAGTATAACAAGATAAATCCAAATAAAAAATAGAATTAGAAAAAAAACTTACATGATCTTTATTTTCTACAAGTAAAAATTTCTCTTCGTCACTCATGTTTTAAAATACAGTTTCACGAAATACAAATTCTTCAATTACTGAAACAAAATAGAGTTCTTTTTTCGTCTTAACTTCTACTTTGTCGATTCGAGACTCCAGCTTCCATCAAATTCGTATAACTTACTCTAAATCTTTTAATCTCTAACCTAACCTAACGAAATATCTACATTAATAAAACGATACACACTATAATTCTCTCATCGTCGTATAGATGACACTGCCTACAGGAGTGACGGTAGAGACTCGTATCGGAATAAAAAAGGACTATGGGCGGTATTCATAGGGCGGTATTCATAGTCCGTTCTTATATTTAAAATCGTCTTAAGCACGGACTTATATTCGCTCTCTTCGTCACACATAGATTGTGTCTGACGAAGAGAACGAATATAAGTTCGTGCTTAAGACGATCTTGAATATAAGAACGGACTATGAATACCGCCCATAGTCCGTTCTTATATTCAAGATCGCTTAAGCACAAACTTATATTCGCTCTCTTCGTCAGACACAATCTATGTGTGACGAAGAGAGCGAATATAAGTTTGTGCTTAAGACGATCTTGAATATAAGAACGGATTATGAATACCGCCCACAGTGTCGATCTGTGTCTCCTAGATGGAAAGCTCCCAAAGGTAACCTTGACAAAGGCAATGGGGTGAGCAAAAACACGAATCTTATTATCCCTAGTTCTAGCGATTCTGATTCTGATATGAATGTCGATAATCATTTAACCACTTTTTCTAAGAATTTATATCCGTCCATGGATAATGATAACGATCCTAAGAGAATTTCGGAAATCATTGGCATAAATACTATTATGTCCGACCCAAACAACGATTCACCCCCTATTGGCTCTTTGATCCCTTCGGGACAGAAAAGATCTGCTGATGATGAGGGCTTTGTTAATATCGATTCCAAAAAAGCAAACAATAATAAAGGCAATAACAATTCCATCTTAAATACTCAAATTAGCCGTCCAAACAAATCAATAAGTTCTCTTGACAAACTAATAAGCAATAGATATGCCCATAACAATCAGGGACCGTATTACGTATACATACAATCTTCCTCTTCTTTCCCCTTATCTATTCACCCTTTGTTTATAGGTCGATTCCTCAATAAATATGGTAAAAAAGAAACCATTGAGGTCAAAAAATTGGGATTCTCGAAAATTTCTGTCAAGTATCGCACAAAAGAAGCGGCCAATCTTTTGGTCTCCCAATATCCGCTTAAGGACCGCAACATGACTTGCTTTATTCTAAATTATAGAATATTTCGACAAGGTATTATTTGCAATATTCCTACTGATATAGAACCTGACGAAATTAAATTAGGAATTAAGTGTTCCACAGAGGTCATGACCCTGAGAAGACTCAACAGAAAAATCACTGTAGAGGATGACACAGGCACTAAAACCTCTCAATTCGTCCCCTCTAAATCCATAGTAATCTCCTTTCTAAATCAAATACTTCCCAAATACATTAATATTTTTAGTGTTAGATATGAAGTAGTCCCCTTTATTCCAAAAACTACTATATGCTTCTCTTGTTTTAGATTTGGTCACTCAGCCGCTCAATGTAGAGGCAAACCTCGATGTCCTCACTGGACGCTCTGCCCATGAATTATCCCCTCCTTGTCCATACATCGCTTCACTCCCCCCCCCCCAATTGCGCTAACTGTAAAGGAGAATACTCCCCCTTAGATCCTCAATGCCCAGAATATAGTATTCAAAAAAACGTTCAGCTTCTTGCGGCTGAGAGAAATATTTCACTTAAGGAAGCCAGAGAATCTTTTCCGGGAAAAACTCATTCTCCAATATGAAGAATGATATCTTCAATCCCCCCCCCCTTATGGAAAGTTCTTTCCCAGAATCCAATATATTCTCTCAGGGACCCTCCCCTTCTCTCAGACCATCGCCCCCTACCAACTACACTTCCCCACCTAACCAGAGGAGCGTAATTTACGCCCAAATGGCTAGTAGATCTGGCATAAAATCTACCAATTACAAAAATTTTAATTCTAACCCGTCCTCTCCTATTTTTAACAAGGAAACCTTTACCCTTCAATCCCCTCTCGTCCGTCATTATGATGAACGCGGCTCTGGTCACGACTATATACTCGAGCCTAACGGTAGGTCCCTTCTTAGACCTCCGAATGGATGCGCTTATCCCTCAGAGAGTCCCGACTCTCCTCATTCTTCACCCACCTCATTTGGTTCTTATGAAAATCAAATGAAGTTTATCTTCCAACTTTTCACGCAGTTAATTGCTGCATTCAGTCAAATTAACCCATCGTTTTCAAATTTAGCAACCGATAGATCTTCCTCAATTTTTCCGCTACTTAATCAAAATTCTTCCTCAGCTAATATTTATTATTCTTACAATGTATAAACTTCTTCAACGCCCTAACATCAATATCTTACAATGGAACTCCAGAGGTCTTATTTCTAAGAAGGGAAAACTTTTAAAAATCATCAAAGATTATGATCGCGATCTCCGAATCTTGATTAATTTCAAGTACTCACTTCTCAATTCCAGGCTATACTATCTTCAGAAGAGATTCGTTACGCATAAAATCCAGTGGTCTGTGTACCATTGTCAGGAATGATATTCATTCAGCTATCAATGCTGACATTGGGCTTGTTCGTTTTAGCTGCACTGGGGCAGCTCTGGGTCTGCTCTAAACAAGATAATACAGGACAAACTATTTATCTGTCCTGTATTATCCTGTGTAGAGCAGACCCAGAGCAGCCCCAGTGTAGCTAAAACGAACAAGCCCATTAATTGCATAGAAGGTTTACTTGACACCCTAGGCGTAAAACTGTCCACCTCTCAAGGACAGTTACTAATTGTATCGATTTATAAACATCCAAAATTTCGCATAAGATATGAACATTGGGATAGGTTATTTTCTACCTTTGTAAATTTCAAAAATGTTGTTGTATTGGGTGACTTCAACTCGCATTATTCTTTCTGGGGATGTTCGATTATTGACTCGGCTAGCAGATCGTTGGAAGAAGCCGCTTCAGATCATGACTTGGTAATTCTAAACAATGGTTCACCAACTAGACTTACAGCCCCCTCTCAAAATAAGAGCGCTGTAGATCTTACTCTAATTAATCCTGAACTTGCACCTATCTGTTCTTGGCAGATATTGGATGATTCTATGAATAGTGATCACTTTCTTGTTGTGACCACATACTCACAACTGTCCAATATTCAAAAAGATTCTGCCACAAAATAGATAAAAAATCTACTGACTGGCTAACTTTTAAAAAATTCTTTATTCTTCAAGAAGAAGAAATTTCCTCAAGAATTCTAGATCCTCACATCAATCCTTTTGATCATATAGAATACCTCACTTTGCTCTTTATTTCAGCTATCGAATCTACAAACGGCCATCCTCTTCGTTTAAACTCTGATTCCCTTTTAGTCCATCACTCATCTAAGGGACCGCCTCCAGTCCCGTGGTGGAATCACGACTGTGATTCTGCAGCAATGGAAAGAAAATCGGCTCTGTCTAACTTCAGGAAAGTTTCTTCTTACTTGAACTACTGTCATCTTAAAAGACAAGAGGCCCTGACTAAGAGGGTATTTCATAAAGCCAAGAGAGAATCATGGAGGAAGTTTTGTAGTGAGATTGAGTTTAAAACTGCCCCTGGAAAAATTTGGAGAACCATCAAATGCTTTAAAAACAGAAATTTAGCCGGTGCTCACAATAACTTCAATACAAATCATAAAACAGAAGAATTTAATAGTACTATTCATACTCTTTGTCCAAACTCTTGTCCCCTTTTCATCTCATTTGAGAATTCCGAACTCTCTCCGAATGAATCTTTACTCTCTCGATCTATATCCGTCGACGAGATATCCGACGTCATTGCCAGACTTGGTGTTTGATCGTCTCCGGGATTAGATGGCATTAGCTATCGAATGATTCAAAATCTCCCTATATTTATGCATAAACTTATCTGTCACCTATTTAACAGTATTCTGACCACAGGAACCTATCCCAATAAATGGAGGAAAACTTTAGTTTACTTAATTCCCAAATCCACTCCGGATAAATTTCGACCCATTTCGCTAACACCTTGTCTGCTTAAAATCTTAGAAAAAATAATCTCTTCTAGACTTCAATGGTTTTGCGAACATAATAATATTATCTCTAGATCTCAATTTGGTTTTAGGAAAGGTAAATTATGCTATGATAACCTGGCTCTACTTTCTACAGAAATTTGCCTTGGACTTGCATATAGACAATATACTCCTTGTCTTTTCTTGGACATTAAAGGGGCTTTTGATAACCTCATTCCTGACATTCTACTTCATACTTTGAGAAACATCGGGATCCCAGAGAGACTATGCAGATTCATTTTTCACCTTACCTCCTTTTGCATCCTCCATTTTATTATTAATGGCGAATTATCACAGCCTTATCATACCTATAAAAATGTGCCACAAGGGTCTGTATTAAGTCCTGTTTTGTTCAACATATACATTAACGCCTTAAGCAAACAAATAACCAACAATTGTCGATTACTTCAATTTGCCGATGACACAATTATCTACATAAGAGGAGAAAAGATTGAAGAAATTCTTCTTAATTTATCCATTTCTGCCACAAAAATCACCACATATCTCAAAGACATTGGTCTGGAGATTTCTCCCTCCAAGTCGTCACTCGTCATCTTTACTAGAAAAAGAATAGACCCTTTCTCTTGTTCTATTGAGGTCAATGGTAATCTCATTAATTCAGTCGATCACGCTAAATTTCTTGGCATTTTTTTTTACTATAGACTCACGGGTTATCTTCACGTCAACTATTTCCTCTCTAAAGGCAGGAAACTTCTAAACATAATTAAAATGTTAAGAGGGGTATGGTGGGGCTCTCATCCGTCTGCCCTATTAACCATCTATAAAATAGTTATCAGAGCCTCCATCGAGTACGGATGCTTTATTTTTTCTGGACTCTCTCATAACCTTGGCCAAAAACTTGAACGCATACAATTCCAAGCCTTAAGACTAGCGCTTGGATATAGAAGCACCACACCAACTAATGTTTTACTGGCAGAACGTGTAAATTACCTTTACATATTAAATTTTCTTATCTCACTCATAGATATCTCCTAAGAGTTTTCTCGTTGGAAAAACACCCTCTCATCTCCAAACTCGAAAAGCTAACTAACGC